AATGCTTTTTTTCTGCTGAAGAAATTCTGACCTCACTGTTGTCTCACTAAATTATATCTAAGAAGAGGTGTGTTGCAGAATGGTGCAATACGTCATGCTTCATTACCACTAGATTAACAGGCACATGTGCACATAACACAAATGCAGAGAGTTACACACAAACTACACACATACTTGAACCCATCCATGTGCAAAGGCCTTTAAATAGCAGACATACAAATGCTATTAAGCAAAGAATATAGGAGATAACCGTATACTTATAAAAATGACAGTCTGGTCTGATCATCTTAGTATTTCATAAACTACAAAAATGTGGGAAACTTCTTTTTTATGGTCTAGCCTTTAAGAGCTTCTTTTTTCACTCAGCTGCGCACAGCTGTAAACATGGCAAGGTAAATATGGAATGATGTTGGCAGTGTACCCAGAAGAAACTGAAAAGTGAAGAGTAACATTTGCTTTATTTTCCTGGAAATCGTTAGTTAGCGCTTCCTTCCTGACGACCTCTTGAACATCATGAAAAACCGCAAGCAATACCAATCAGAAAATGTGTCATTTATAATTGCAAAGCCAAAATATTGTATAGTTGAGGGTCCATCATTAGATGCTACTGGCTGAAGGATGAGGGAGTGTGACGGGCTTATGAAAACATGTGATCGCATATCATTGCTTGCTTAAGCATCTACCTTTGTATTATATATGTATGCAGGCTAAAAACCTAATATTATAAAAGCTCCCAATAAAAGATTCATGTTGCATTGCTAAGTGTCGTCTCTTCCACTCATGACGAGGCATCATATAAAAGAACATGATGCAAATCTCTGTAGAAGTCGACATATTCAAGGCTAAAGCCGGTGTTAAAGCAGTAAATAATTCACCCTCCCTCTTTCTCACCCACCTTCCGCCTGTCTTTGCTGCTTAAACATTAGTCAAGGTGAAGTGTTTTCACTGTTATGTTGTTTTATATCAACTTGACAGAGAATAGTTCTCCGTTAAGCGGCATTTCCATCGTGTGCTTGTTTGCCCATTAGCATTCAAAGAGGGTGAAAATGACTTGACCTTCTCTTGGAAGCAGGGAGCCGTGAACGTGAAGTTTTAATTGAGTTCTTGTGTCTTTCCCTTTCTTTTCTCCTTTTCTCATCAGTGCAATATTTGAAAGATCTCATTCCCTAGACTAGTGATCTCTTTATTATGGCACTATGATAGATGAACTTGAAGAAGTTCAAACTATACAAAGGTATTGTCTCATTTCGTTTCTGACATTTCAGATTTAAAAGAATGATATTTAAACTGGTGTCACCACTCTTTAATGTTTGTTTTGTTTGTTTTTCGTCTCGCTCCTTCACCAGTTGTCTGAGCCCACATAGTACATCCTCTATAAAGTGCTATATAGTTACAGAAAATGTGTGACCTGTTACCTTGCACAAGTGTATGTAACTGGTGGCGTTCACACTCTTTAATCTTTGAAGGACTTCCACAAAAGGTTTTTTTGAGTTGAGTTGTAGTTTCTGGGTTTGCCTATCAAATCTGCATCTAACTCTTTGGGTACTTGGGGCGATCGTGACTCAAGAGTTGGCAGTTGGTCTTGTAATCAGAAGGTTGCCGGTTTGACCCCTGACTCGGACAGTCTCGGTCGTTGTGTCCTTGGGCAAGACACTTCACCCGTTGCCTGCTGGTGGTGGCCAGAGGGCCCGGTGGCCTCTGTCAGTGCGCCCCAGGGTGGCTGTGGGTACAATGTAGCTTGCCATCACCAGTGTGTGAATGGGTGGATGACTGAACGTGTAAAGCACTTTGGAGTCCTTAGGGACTAAGTAAAGCACTATACAAATACAGGTCATTTTACTTAATAGCACATTCTTTTTTGTTGATTAGCTGTGGCTGGAAAACTGTGCAGGTGCATTAAAGGTGCTTTAAATATTCCATAGCTTTTCTTTTAGAGTCGTTTCTGGGTCTGTTTGCAAGTGTGCTTTCCTTGTGTGAAGATTAGATTTCAGTGAAACTTAGACTTCCAGATGGCCTTGCATTATCTTAAATTACTTAAATATTTGATCTAGAATTCATAACTGAATCCATGACAACAAGCTGCCTGGTCCCTGAGATATTGAATCAAGCCCAAATCATGTTCCACAGTGGCAATGAGCACGGTCTCCTTAAAAGCTGAATTTGGTATTTGATTTTTGAATTTAGTCTGCACTAAATTGTGCGTCTGCTCTTACTGTGACCAGAAAACGTTTGACCAGGGTGAGTCATTCTAGTGGATCTGGTCTTTGCCTATATGTCTTCATTCGCAAAACGTATTTCCTTTTCTATTTTGAACAGCCAAGGCTTTTTGCTGAGACACCTGCCATGTGGATCATCTTTGTACTATGTCTATATAACTGTTTAAACATAAACCTTGACAGCAGCGGTTACAAGGGGTTGTTGCACATCCTCTTGTTAAATTTATGTGTTTGGCCAGATCTTTTCTTGAATAAAATACCTCTTTTTCTCTGCAGGTCAACACATAATAATAGTAAAGTCAATAGTAAAGAGAACACCAAACCGTAAATGTTTTAAAAGCACTAGTTTGATCTGTCATACTCATTTTCCAAACACAGATATTGAGTGTGAAACTACTATAGATTTGGTGGCTTTGAATGTATGTAGATGTGTTGATTTATCATGTAACTGAGCTGCTTTGTAACAACCAGTAAATACATATAGTGAAGAAACACAGAAGCCAATATTCAAATGGTTTCATTGTAACAGCTCTTCACCTGCATCTTAAGGACAAGGGTCACTCCTGCAAGGATGCCAATGTTGACATTTTGGACAGAGAAGAAAGATGGTTTGAAAGAGGAGTGAAAGAAGACATCTATATCCACTGTGAACGACCAACTGTCTGCCATCTATAATCCAGTTTTGAGATCCCCACTTACATCCTGGGCCTTCTGACCTCATTAAGGCTACGTCCACACTAATGCGTTTTTGTTTAAAAGTGCATCGTTTTCTCTCCGTTTTAGCCTCCCGTCCACACTGAGACGGCGTTTTCACTCATGGAAAACTCAGCGTTTTCAAAACGCTCTCGAAAACGCATACATTTGAAAACGGTGCTTTCGCGTCGCAGTGTGGACAGCAAAAACACTTTCTAAAACGATGACGCATATTAGTCATATGATGCAGTCATGTGACCAATTAAACTAAGATAGCGGAGGGCATTATACAGCAGTTGTTTTGTTTGCTCTCAATTTTGACAGCCCTGTTAAAGATTAATATCAGTCTGTACAAGCTCCAGATAGCTTTTCTTCAAATTCTTTAACTCTCACTCGCTTTTGCAACTTTGTACTTTTGTGTTACTCGCAGCAACAACTCCACCTCATTGTTAGTCTATTTAAAAAACTCAGTGCTTTTCCTCGACATTTTGCCGCGACTTTTGAAAGAGCTGGAAAGTAAATAAGCGGCAGACAGAAATTCGTTTCACGCATGCGCAGTAGTGGAACGTAAGCATTTTCGGACGTTTCAATGTGGACGAGCAACTCTGTGAAAACAACTGAAAACTCTAGTGTGGACGCGAAGCGTTTCCAGAACAAAACGCCATTTGTTCTGGTGGACGTAGTGTGGACGTAGCCTAAATCACATGATATGATGGGGCTAGGTTTTACAGTGGGTTCACCCAAAACCTTGGCTGATTGTGACCTTTTTCACACCTTGGCTTGTGTGATTAGACAGAGGATCAATAGGGGGTCCATGACCCTCTTGGGGACACTCCCATAGGGCTCTATGGGAGTTGCTCTTAGAACTGAAGAGTCCAGACGCTTTTCTTTCAAAGCTCTTTAGACTACTATGGCCTGGATGACTGAGAACCTTCACAGACAAAAATAGAAGTAGAAAGTAGAAATCGAGGTTTGTCTCATACGTTGTCACTGACAGACAGCTACACACATGCTAAACCGATTGTGACTCTAACACTATTTGTCAGCATTGGTAACTTTTTTCTGTTAGTGTATAGCTGAAGGCCTGAAATGATATGGAGTATGTGTTATTAATAGAAGTTTATTATACTGAATTTACATAAATTATACTTCATAATTAATCTGCCTGCACTGCAGTGACTCACTGCAATGTAATTGTTGTGCAGTTTGGTCTGTGGCTAATAATGAGTCACCTAAAATCAGTTTCTTTTTCATTATGTTCTTGTGTCTGTCTTTCTGTCTTTGTGTTGTTGTTGTTTTTGCATGTTGTTTCTCTGCTTTTCTAAATCTGATTTTATCTTGAGTGCCAAAATGCGGGACATTTGCTAGATTGTGTCAATGTTTCGTGATGTGCTGTTTTGTTTTGTTTTAGTGTGAACTGAGCATTAAAGTGATTATTTCAGGCAAGTATAATATAAATTTTAGCTCATGCTGCTCACCTCAGTTTCATTTTCTATTTTATTAATGCAGACAAATGAGTCACTGTCTCGTACAAAGTGTTTCTGTATCACAGGCAGTTCCTTGTTGAAACCCAAACAAATCCAGCCCAACGCCCACCTGAACTTCCAGTTCAATCAAAATTCAATTCATTATTTCTGTGCATCATATTGGCAAAGCTGCTAATAATATACTGAACAATATTGTCAAATTATCAAAGCAGCGTTGGTGTGATCGTTGGCTGTGAAGTTCAGCCACCAACTGTCTGACTAAAGTGGCTCTTTTTTCCCTTTCCCGTTTTTTGGACTCAAGTCAAGTGCTTTAAATTGAAGTGAGCCTTCAGGGCATAGATTGAGATGTAGCCAGAATTTTAATGCTCCTTTTTCAATTGTTTAGTTTAGGGAGAAGTGCCAGGTTCCCCAGTATCTGTTTCTCTCTCTCCCTCTGCCTCTACACAGCTCTTATTACCAGCTTTCTTTTTCTTTCATCTGTCATCCTGTCTCATCTTCCCTCCTCAATCAGCTCTCTTTCTTTCCCCGTGTATTTGGCAAACGCATAAGCATATACGGAGAAAAGCACACTCTCCAACCAGTTGTTGTCATGTGTGTGTTGCAGGAACGTAAGCTCAGCAGGTGAGGAGGCGAGACGAAGGATGAGGGAGTGTGATGGGCTGACAGATGCTCTGCTCTACGTTATTCAGACCTCTCTGGGCAGCAATGAGATCGACAGCAAGGTGCGACTCTGAAAATCTTAGCTTGTGTTTGTAACTTAAATTGTTCATTTTCAGGCTAAATTACAAAGTGTCTCATATCCTCCTTTTATCACAGACAGGCACAAACTGCAGAAATCTTTTTAGCACACAGGAGGAAACAAAACAAATAACTGCACCTCTTTTCACTGCCAGCAGCCACAAGGAAGAAAAGTTTTAGTTTTCAACAAGTGTTCAGCTCATCAATATGAACTCTTTAGGGCAAATTAAAACGCCCAGATTCAAAGTATTGCAACATTTCTACCTGCCAGTTAAGCTCTGCCAGTAGTCAGAGTTGAGTAGGTTTAGGTTCACTTTGCATTTTTCTGTATGAGGCCATGTTCATGTTGGCGTGCAGTGTACGTATGTGTGTTCATGTGGCAGTACGTGTGGGCCAGTCAATACTACTGTACATAAACAGTGTTGTGGATGGCTGACTTCTCAAGGTCTCCCTGACTCCCAGCCTTTCTAAATAGCTATCCTTAATCACTGTTTAACTGCCCGCCCTTCTCCACTGTTTAACTGCAGTCACCAGAGGAGGACTGCTGCCACCACAGTAACAAAGACTGATTGGCAGAGAAACCACCAAGCGGTCGCTGTTGCAGTAGCGGTACACATTAGCCATGTGCTCATTTGGTACACTGTCTGCCTTTCCCTTTCTCACCTGCTCTGTGCAGACTATGTTTTCCTCCCTATCTGCTTGTTGAGTTGGAACAGTCTTGGCCTGCCATTGAAATACTAAAAAATATATCTATTTATTTTGACTACTTTGGTAAAATTGATCCCATAAGACACAACAGCAGGCACTGTTCAGAGATGTAAGCTGTTCAAGTAGCATAACAGGGTCATATTCGTAAATTTTAAAGTGGCTGGCAGCAAAAGTTGTAAATGTCCTTTGTATTTGTGCATTTTTCACACATTTCAGATCTTAAAATAAAGTTCTATAAAAGACAACATGAGTACAAACATTTACTTAGGGAAAATATAACCCCTTTAAAACAGTATCTATCTATTAAACACAATTGACTGTGCCTATTTTATCTGCAGCAGCTACAACCAAACATGTCTGGTACCTACAGTGGGTGAACTTGCTGTAGAGGAATTTTGGTTCACTTTTCTTTGCAGAATTGTTTAAATTACACATCACACAGAGCTTCTTTCAAGCATGGACTGTAGAGTTAAATTCCTGCTAAGGCATTTAAATAAGATTCAACTTTAACCAGGCCATTTAAAAACCTCTGCTTTGGATTATTGTCTTGCTACATTGACCAAATTTCTCTCGAGCTTCAGATAATAGGCCGGTGACCTTACACGTTCATTTACATATTTATTCTCCAAAGAGTAGAATTTGCAGTTACATAATCAAGTTACTACTTCAGAGTATGTATTTTTAAACTTATAAATAATTTAATTACGATGCGCTCTGTTTGCTCACGATGTCCTTGTGCTTTAATAAACCTTTTTTGAACATCTGCAAATATTTGGTGACAAACACAGATAATACAGTAAATTATAAAGGGGTCGTGAGAATAAGCAGATATAGATATGGTTGTATGGGACTGTTGAAGTCAAAACTGTAAAATTACATTTTATAAACTATTAATAATGAGGAATTTCATCAAATATAAAAGATAATAATATGCAATTATGATCGATGCTGCACAGTAGGACCATGCATGTAACTGAAGAACCCACATATACAAAAAACATATTGTTGATTAAGGTATTGCTTCGAGGTGACTCTGTTATTGTGTTTGTATTGATGGGTGATCAGTGTCTCTCATTTACTAGAATAATATGAATGAAAGTGGATGAAATGAAAATAATTAATAAAGGTGCACAGTGTCTTTCCTAACCTGTCCCTGTTGCAACACTGTTGCCGGGGTAAATAACTGTGCCGTTCAGACAACACTGTAAGAGTAAGTCTTTTTCTTTAAGACCGGAACGATGTCAGCTATCTTAGGCAGCTTGATAACATCTCATAACGTAAGTCTTTGGACACTATGAATGGGTTCTCTTATTGAGCAATTGTCCAACCAATGGCCTGCACAGAATCTACAGTTACTATGACTAAATAAAACGAAGCTATTGTCTCTTCACTTTTAAAACAATTTACCATTTACATATAGAAAAAAAAACTGTTGTTATCACCAATCATTTAAACATGACTAATAATGCTGAATCCCCAAATGTCTTTTGACTTCCATTAAAATGTTAATATTTCAACTTTCTGTTACTAAAGATAGAAAATCAGAGCACAATGTAATATAGCTGCTGTATTACAATAGCAGTGCTTGTTATTGTTTTTAACTACAAACTCTGTGGTTCGGTAGATATGCCTTTACTGATCTTAGTTATGGATTCACAGTGATGTGATGGTGTAATAAATATACCATCACATAATCCATGTCACCACAGCACTGCTGAAATGCAGGCGCGTGTTTTTATAACTTAGCTTTGAATTACTACAACGTACAGCACAATAGTTAAAGAAAGCTGATTTGGACAAGGATAGAGCCAAAACATTACCTTTAGTTAACATCAAACATTAACACTGAATGCTAAATTTCTGGAGGTTTTGACCTCCTGTGAATGATTAAAAATTGATTTTTAATGTTTTATATTGTGCCTGTATAATAGGTTTTCTTTTTTTTTGCCCTCTGTGCAACACTTTGTTAAAGCTATAGGTGTTGATTCTATTTGAACTGTTTCAACATGGCCTTCTGCTCGTGACGTGTTCAATAATTGTGGACAGAGAAACATTAGATCTGAGGAGTGGCCACTATAGATATATCATGTGACATAGCTTAAGCACTAAAGAAAATCTCTAGATTACTGCCATTCTGCTCTACACAAGGCACAGAAGCAATTAAGTTTTAAGGACATTTAATCAGGTTTCCCACTATATAATAGCACACTGCCAGGAGTCAATTAACTTAGCAGACACACTAATTGAAATTGATGGTGCAAGACTGAATAGACTAGACCCATCATTCTACATACACAGCCAATATAATGCTAATATATAATATTGAGATTTAACAGCCTACATTTAGTGTGTCTCATTGCATAGGGAAGCTTACTGGATGGCTGTTATGTGTGGACTTCCAGCTTCTAAGACTCTAGGCTGGAAAGTGCATAAAGGTCATAAATACAAGAACAATGAATTCTAGCTTTGGTGTTACAAAAGTTTCCTGTCACAGTTTGGAGTGCATAACTTCTGTGTTCCTGAGAGAACCGTAAATTCCACCCAGGTGTAGAGGTGCTGATCTGTAACTGGCCCTGACCTCTGACCTCCCTGCTTTGACAAGACATATAACAGAATCCGTTTACCTGTCAACTTAATTTCCCTGCACAGTGCACCTAGAAACAAAAGGGTACGGAAGAAATGTGAAATAATAGATCGAAATCCAAAATGTCACAGCAAATTGTAAATAAAGTGTAACTTCTCCTACATCGCTCCATAATAACATGAGAATAGAATTTCAAATATGACTGCAGCTCACTGGAGTGAGACATTGTTTTGTTTGCAGCATCTCTTGAGGGTGTTCAATTACACTCCTTAGTTGTTTTTGTCTAAACCAACAGTCAGACTGAGTGAAGATTGATGATTTGTCTTTGTTAATTTCCACTCTGTTGACTTGATGTCTCCCCTTTGTCAGCGACGCACACGTATGCAAGTGCACACAATCAGTTAAAGAAACAAAACAGAACACACACACTTAAGAAGAGACAATATACACTATTAGAGAATCGGCTTTCCTTCAGACTCAAGAGTACACGCATGTTCTCTGGCTACTGGGTGAGCCTCGAAACTTCATGTTTAATGGGGTGTGATATAATATATTGGGTTTGTCATTTTTCCTCATTTACCTGAGTTTCTGCTAATCTCATTTCAAAGTCAGAGCTAACAATATGCAGAAGAATATTACTTGTGAGATTATTGTTGTTCTTTCCTTTCCCTCTCCCTCTCCCTCTCACTTGCCGCCCCCCTCCCTGTCTTTCACCCTCTCCATCTGTCTGGCTCCTGAGTGCGGGTGGAAGGCTGATAGTGTAAAAGTGAGAGAGTGGGTGGTTTTTATTACCGTTCTTTGAATTTGAGTTTGCTCGGTGTTTTCAAGCGAGATGTTTCATTAAATGGCATCAAACACAAATCTTCAATCTGAACCTTTTTTTTTTCCATTTAAACCTCTCCCTTTATTGATCTCATCTTATTTCTCCCCACCTTCTCTTCCGCCTTCATCTCTCCCATCTCGCTCTGTTCGCAGACTGTGGAGAACTGTGTTTGCATCCTGAGGAACCTGTCATACCGACTGGCTGCTGAGACATCTCATGGTCAGCAAGGGGGGTTGGAAGAGCTGGATGGCCTGCTTTGTGATGCCAATGGTCGCGATGGAGAGAGCTCCGGTTGCTGGGGCAAGAAGAAAAAGAAAAAGAAGGGAGCTGACCAGGTAAAGACACAGAAAATAGGAGCTAATCAGATGATGTGAGCAAGTTAAAAAAGGTTTTTAAAAAAATAAATTGAATGTCTGAAACCTGCCACACATCCCTTTCAGCAGGGATCTGCAGTTAAATGCAGATCAGTTTCTCTTCAAGGTTATCTGAAAAGCATTGGTTTCTTTTCAAATTAACTGGCTTGTGTGAGGTATTTCTGCTCTTTAACTTTATATATAATTGAGTCTTTGTGACCTCAACTTTCCTTTAAAGGCTTCAACACTCAGCTTCTCTTAATTTCCTAAATACCTAAACACAGACACAGGCCTAAAGTATGCAAACACAGACCTTACTTACATCTTTCAGAGCTAACCGGATGGACCAGAAGTGAATTTGAGGCCCAAACCAAACTAGATATCAAGAATATGTCTCTATTTTATTTGTTGCTGACCAGTGATGATCCATTCAATGCTCTGGCAAAGCTGTGTTTAGATGAAATGAAAATATTAGTAAACTAAATTTGAAAAGAATTTGAGGCCAAATTTCAACCATCAAAGCAAAGCAGTCAGTACTGCCAGGAGGGAATACACACTGATGAATAGAGGGATACATAATGGGAAGTAGCAAAAGGTCAAACCCCAGAGGTATACACTATAAAACCCTATGAAAATGAAGCAGGGATAGTAGTTAGTGGGAGGCTGACAGACTGAGAAAGTCTAGAGTTGAAGCCAAGAGAGAGAGATAGAGAAAACAAGTTAAGATCGGAAGATCAGGGAGCCTGAACTTGACCGAAACAATCCGAATGAACTACTGGAAAATGTTTTCCTGGAATTGTTGATATTTTGTGTAATTGGCATTTTTTTTAGGTATTTAGCAGTCTGACTATATGACTTCATTTTTAATGTATTTTAAATAACTGATATATAAAAGGCACACCTGATTTAATTGTGCTAAGGGTTTCTCCTATTGTATTGCTGCTCTGCTTTCAGGGTTTCTGATGTATTTGAATTGATATTGTAGTGCAGGTCTGACCACTTGTACTGCAGGATTAGCACGGACCTCAAACTTTCTCAAAAAAGCAAATATGTTCAAGCCTGTACACAAGGCAGCGGGCCAGCATGCTTGTTATTCCTTGATGTTCACAGGGTTTTTGCACTGTGAATTTTTCCCCCAGGGGGAAGGCTGTGATCGAGGAGTTCTTCTTCAACATCCAAACGCATTTCAGGGAGAAAAGTTGGCACAGATGTTTTTGGACACACTAACACATTCTTTTTTTCTTCATTCATCTTATTCACCGAACCCTCTATTCCCCCACAAATCACTCCTCTTCTCCAAAGTAAAACTTAAGTTGAAGATAAAACATTTTCACACAGTGGAGGAGATCCAGCTTGCATCAGAGATGCAAATAAGCAAATACTCAAAACAGGAAGTCCAAGATGAAAAGGTTAATAATACCATACTGAAGTAAATGTATTTTAAAATGCTATTTTAGGGCGTTTAGCAACATATATGTGTGTTAAATATGTAGAATGGCTTTTGTGAATCATCTGATGCTCCTTTGTGTAGTGCTTTAATCTGCGCTTTGAGTTTTATGATTTCTTATCAAATCTGTACATAGATAAAAACAGATAGTGACACTCAGTTGCACACAAACACACACATGCCACAGTGCTTCTTTCAAGATATACACTAGCTTGGTTTACCTTGAGACAAGAAGAGGAGACGATGCAGTAGAGCAAAACCGAGGAGGTCGATAGGGAGAGCAAAAACTGAGAACTGGAAAGAGCGGGACGGAAGCAGAATAAGAAATTAGGAAAAAGGGTCAAGCATGCAAGAAAGAGACAGAGAAATCAGGAGAGAGAGGCAGAGAGAGAGAAGAAGAATTAGAAGGAGGAAAAATCAGGGAAAGATATAAATGACATGCAAGAGAGAATTAAGAGGAAGAGAAAACGAGAGAGAAAGATGCTGGTGTATGCCTACATGAAAAAGGTGTGGGTATGTCAGCCAACAAAGAAGTTCAGACATCAAGAAAGGCTCCTCTGTAATGAAAAAAGACAAAGATGAAGTGAGAGCTAGCTGTAAAGCTTTATGTTTATTGCTCAAAGCAAATGTAGCAGTGAAACATTCTCTCATAGTGTCTTCTCCTTCTGCAGCTCTCACTGTCGTTTCAGATCATGCATCTCCCTTCTATCTAAGCCCTTCAACACCTTTATCGCTATTCATCCATCCATCATGTGATTTACTCAGTGTCTCGGTAATTTTTCTAATAGGTCAGGGTGTACCAGGGGCAGTGCATTTCGCTTTTCTCATGTGAATTCAGTCACTCCGACATAAAAAATGTGTTTAGATACAAAAGTAAGTTCATTCAGATTTCTTATGCAGGTTTTTATAGAATCACTGTAAGCTTTGCATGGAAGAACAGAAAAAGGAACATCCTACGATTTCACAGTCGCTCATTTCTCCTAGAATTGGTGAAAAATGTCATTAAAATGTTCAACCACACTGAAGTGGTGCTGTTTTTTGGTTTTAAATAAAGTAAAAAGTTTCCTAAAGGGTAAAACAAAATGTGATTGTGAAAATGGAGTTAACGGTTTCCTTAAAGTATTTCTTCATGAATATAAATTAACATAAAAAAAGCTATTTCACTCTGTCTCATCTCTCACAGTGGGATGGCGTGGGCCCCTTTCCCGACACGGCGGAGCCCCCCAAAGGAGTTCAGATGCTGTGGCACCCCACCATCGTCAAGCCCTACCTCACCCTGCTGTCTGAATGCTCCAATCCTGACACTCTAGAGGGTGCAGCTGGGGCTCTGCAGAACCTGGCTGCAGGCAGCTGGAAGGTAATGCTAGATTTGAGATGCTTTTCAAAAATTGTTTGCCTTGTTATATTATATTTGTCAAATATAAATTGTCGAATTATACAACCACAGATGAGTATACAACTGCAAGTGCAGATGTGTTTAGCTTGTCCTTACACACAGTGGCTGTGCAATGAATGCAGAGACACACTTTACTAATTGTACACAGGTCTTGTGCTCTGAAAAAGCATAGATAAATGTGCACATTCACATTATATGTTGGTCAAAATACTTAAGTATGCATGTATGAGCTGAACGTGTGCAAGTAAACTGTGTGAATATGCATGCCTGGTGCCAAGAGCTTCATTGTACACAGTCAAATGCAGCAAAACCTATGAAAAGTCTTCTGCCTCCATAACCACATAGGTTAAAAAAAGGTAATTTTCTTTTGAATTAATAATCTTTTTGCTCACTGCAGCATCCTGCTGACTTTAAAATATTTTGAGTTCGGTCTCGTGTTTTTATGTCTTCTATGTAATGCAGTATTGCACGTTGCTCAGTAGGAATGCAATTACTTTAATAATGTAAATGCTCCAAACCTGTACACACAGGGAGTAGAGCCAGGGTTCAACAACAGGCAACCAACGGAGGCAGCTAGATGGTAATAATGTATGAGTCATGTCATATTGGAGAGCACTGGTGGGGGCAGCTGTAGCCTTGAGGGAGGTTTATATAAGGGTAAAAGGCAGAAAGTGTGTGGGTATAATCTTAGCTTGACCTTAATAAAATAAAATAAAAATAAAAATAAAAACTGCGCCAGACATTGTTGGTTATAAATAGACTATGTGAGAAACTTAATGGAAGTATTTATTTGATCCAAAAAATGCAGTTTATGAAAATATGAACTCAAGAGGGAGTGACAGACAGGGGAGACACTGTGAGAGTATGCTTCAGTGGACCTGTAGATGTGTATGGGATGTGTTTGTAACTCATTTTGAATTGGTATTTCCATCGACAGTAGAGTAGACAGACAGTCGGAGCATGACAGGTATAGAAGAGGGAGTCTCTAGAATAATCAAGGGTGGAGGAGGAGAAGGAAATGATGGGGGTGGGTTGTCTTAAGGGAATCACACGTTTGAAACTCAGCACAAAAAGTAAAGAAACTTGAATTTGGTAGATTTTTCTTTGTTGTAACAATGCTTCTTGGCAATAAATCTTATACTATTGGAAAGCCAGTGTATTTCCCCTTAAATGGTGCCACTTTGTAAGGAAAATCCGGTTGAAAATCCGAGTTGATGTTATTGACTCTTTGTTTTGAGCTTGTGGTACCCAGGTGCTGACAAACAGGTGCCTGATTGTCAGCACCTGTGAACAAGGACACTGCTACAGCGGTCAGTTGGTGTCTGCTCTAAGCACTCCACATTTGACTGATCTGGATGGGACCAGTGCCATAGGGCAGCTTCAAGTGAGGCCTAGCGCCATCTCCAAGTTAGGCCAAGTTCCATATAACAGGGAATTTTGGAGACAGGCCGTGAAGTTGGTGTCTCAAGAAAAGAACACCACAAGAAGACTGTTTCCTCACCCCGTCAGCACATAAGCAGTCTTCTACAGAGTTGTAGTCTTGTCTCTCAGGACCATTTGGTTGACAGCTCTCTACCCAGACTATCTGGAACAGACTGCACACTGCCAATCTCTGGTCTCATAGGGTTGCCAGAAGGCCTGCAATGACTGCCCTTCATTGCACTGGTTTAGGGAACATGTGCTGACATCAGTGCATGTTGCTAACACCGGAACATGTGGGTGAATTTTATGTTCAGTGATCAGTCAGGATTCTTCCTACAACAGTTGGATTGTAGGGTCAAAGTGCAGAGAAGATATCGCTGCAGTCTGGGACTGAACTCTTCCAAGAATACCCTCGACGATCGCCCCCACAGAGTGTGGTTTATAAGAGACTACCTCCAGAATTTGGGAGTGGAGATGAAGGAATGGCCTGCCTCCAGTCCTGACCTCAACCCCACTGAATACTCATGTGATCAGCTTTTGCTCACCGTTCATGCCAGAGTGACCAACACAACCACGCTGGATGACTTGCAACAAATGCTGTTTGAAGAATGGGAGGCCATCCCACAGTAGTGTGTAACCAAACTGGTGACCAGCATGAGTTTGAGGTGCAAGGCTGTTATGGCTCTGTGTGGTTCTTCCACATGCTAGTCTGTTGTTAAGTGAATACATTATTAAATTTCCAATGTGTCGTGTTTATTCATCCTTTAATCATTCAATCCAGGAAATCCAGGAAAGTGTCAATAGCAGAGTAAAATCTTTTAAGCAGAAAAGACTGCAAATTTTTCATGGGTGCAACCCACACGCTCAACTCTACTGCTCAACCCACAAATGCATTTTCCTTACAAATGTGGCACCATTTAAGGGAGAATAAACAAGCTTTCCAACAGTGTAAGACTTATTGCCAAGAAGCGCTCTTAGAACAAAGAAATATTCAACCAAACACAAATTTTCATCACTTTTTTGTGTTGCGTTTATTTTACAAGAGCCTAACTGTATGAACGTGTGTGTGTGTGTTTACATGCATGTATTGTTCTGTTTTCTCCTGTTGTGTTTTTAACTTCATTGTCAGTATTCTTATAATTAAATTAGAGCTGCTATCAGTTTGTGAAGAATTAGTGTTGGCACACTAAACTCTGCCCACGTAAGTCTTACCAAAGATCATTTCAATCCAAGGGTAAAATATTTCCTAAAATGATCATATGAAGAAACACCGTTTGTAAACAGAACTGTGTTTTAACCTTTACATGCTGTGGAAAGATCAATTATAAAAGTGACAGAAACTTTCAGCCTCGCACTTCAACCACTTCTACCGATTCTTGGGCGTTTCAGTACCTCCCCAATTGTCTGCAATTGACCCATAAGGCAGATGCATTTGAGCTGTTCAGGGTTGAGTGGCCCATTTGAGGGTACCTTGATAGTTGTTGAGGGAAGATAGAGAGGTCTCCAGGCTTAAAACTCCTCTGGTTGGTTCATATAATTCTCCCTCTCACAGTATATTACTTGTGACACAGCGTAATGCGTCAGTTGCTGAATATAACATCTCCCATTCGACCACTGAGCTCTTTCTACCTCTTTCCTTTTTTTCCTACACTAACCACTTTACTCAAAGGAAATCTATGGGGTGTAAACAATTTCATATAAAGCACCCATGACAGTTTTTTTAAGCAAAACACTGTTATCCTAATTTCACATTGCAGTCTCTTTTTTTGTTGTTTTTTTAACATGGTACTAATTAATTGTTATTTTGTTGGTGTTCTTCTGTTTAACTTTTATTTAAAATCCTCCTGTGCAAGATTAAATGTAAATATACTCCTTCTTTATGGTCGTTGGACGTTAACACTGTGAACACTGTTAACACTAACTCTTTCCACTTGTGTTTTCTTGTCAGTGGTCAGTGTACATCCGTGCTGCTGTCCGTAAGGAGAAAGGCCTTCCCATCCTAGTGGAATTATTGAGGATAGACAATGACAAAGTCGTGTGCGCTGTCGCCACTGCTCTCAGAAATATGGCTTTGGACATCAGGAACAAGGAGCTCATTGGTGAGTACTCATAAAAACTTATCCAAGGGGTGTGGTGAGGCATCAATGAATTTGTCACTGGCTTTTTTAATCTTACAAACATTGGATGCAAGTCATTAATTTAATCTCAAATGATATTCTGGTCGGTTCTGGCTCACCTTGTGTAGTTAATGATGAAAATTAAATTTGCAATTAAGTGTGTATAATGAGCGAAAATTTGAACTTTTCAACTGTCGCTTAATAAGCGCATCATGTTTGGAAGTGTCCTGCCTACGGAGATCATATAAAACATATAAGAGGTTGGCTTGTTCTGCTATGTAAGTCGGAGAGCAAAATTGCAGTTTTTTTTCCAAATGATTAAAATAGCTATTTAACTGAAGCGAAGGTGTGTTTGTTGGTGTGAGAAAATTAGACTAAGAAATAAAGTGCAGTAAAATAAAGGGGTAGTTGATATGTATTTGAAAGAGATGGGCTGAACAAAGCAGAAGAGAGAGAGAGAGCAGAAAAGACAAGCAGATCAAAGGCTTGCTTTTGGCTTTGAAAAGTACACAGTGGTAATGAGTGAGCCTCAGTCAATCTGGTAGCATCAACACATCTAGGTAGTAGAGATCACTTCTTAACCTGACGCATTAAGACACTAATGTGCGTGTGTGTGTGTGTGTGTGTGTGTGTGTGTGTGTGTGTGTGTGTGTGTGTGTGTGTGTGTGTGTGTGTGTGTGCCACGCCACGCATGAACATAAAAGCATATAAATGCATTTGTTTGATATCACTTCTCCTCCTCTACTATCTTGGGTAATCTTAGCTTCCTAATGGGCTCGGTGGTTCCTATAGCAACCCCGCTACCCTCAGTTTCAGATGAGGGGTCTCTGGTGCCTCTGTGGTTTTGCAGAGTGTTGTTAGAACAATGGGGAATGCCACCGGCAAAGCTCAATACGCCCCCTACTGTGACGGTCTGGCTGGCACACAACGGGGGATTACAGATAATTGAAGCCTTAGCATAGAGACATCTGAATGGGTTTGAATGATTTTTGTTTTATTTTGTTGCTGTTGTTTATTCAATACACCTACAAATGTATCATTAGGGAATTGGATAGCAGTGACCTTACAGCTACATTAATTTGTATCCCTGTGAAAAACAATCCAAGGCCTTTGCATGTCGCTCTTTTTTCAGCCTTTTTTGTTGCTCTCCACCTATAGCAGTAATTCCAGACACTAGCTATCCATTTCCATCGGCTTATCCAGCATCGCTGGGGGATGGAGCCTGCCCCAGCTGTCATAGGGCAAGAGGCAGGCTACACCCGGGACAAGTCATCAGTCTATTTATTGCAGGGCTAACAGAGAGGGATGGACAACCTCTGACGCTCACATTCACACCTTCACTCCAATTTAGGATCAACAGTTACCCTAACACGCATGTTTTGGACTGTGTGAAGAGGCTGGGGTACCACTACAGGCAGGGAGAACATGCAAACAGAAAGGCCACATCCAGCCAGTGAATTTGAACCCAGGACCCACTTGCTCTCAGACAACAGTTCACCACTGTAACCCAATTAAAAATACAAAGTATAAAATAGAGTGCAAATAAATTAAACCTTAATTTTTTGTTGAATACTTTAACAAAATGTTTTAATAGGTGGCAGGTCTAAGCTTCAAGCATGCTGGAGTACACACCCTGGACCAGTCGCCAGCCTGTCATTTGCAATTTAAAATCACCAATTGACCTACCACCCCTAACTGCATGTCTTTGGACTGTGGAAGCCAGAGTATCCGGAGAGAACCCACACAGACACGGATGCAAAATTACACACAGAAAGGCCCTGAGTGGATGATGAATTCAAACCCAGGACCTCCTTGCTGTGAGGGAACAGTGATAACAGTGCTGCCCAAACCAAAACTCCAGGAATCAAAATAAACCATCGCCACATAACCCAGAATACAAAGATACAAAAGTTAAACTAAACTCGAAGGCATATTAAGAAAAGGAGAGACCCAGAGGCTCTAAATCAAAGACTCAAAACATCAAAACTCAGATTACAACCAAAACAGAGCCAGAATTTAGAGTCCAAACACACTCTGGATCAGAGACCACGACCATGACAATAGAAATCTTACGCATCTGACAGATGCATGAGAACAAAAAAATACAAAATAAAGTCAAACAAGAGGACTTAAGAAGACGCTGCTGCAGTTTATAGACTGAAAATATTGGAAATAAGGGAAATATTGTGCCACAAACTACATAAAGCTGCAGGGAGGGATGCTGATTCTCAGTGGGACTGTCAGACACAGCAGACACCTTCTCAGGGATTTTTTAAATGAATTACTACATTTATTACATTTAGAGTGATGGTATGCTGACTCAGGTCAGCTATCTTAAATCACAGAAGTCATTTCATAATCGTTAGCCGTTAAAAGACGAATGTCTTATTCTTAACAAGTAAAGTAGAAAGATAGTCAGTGTCAGTGGCACCCACTGACAAAAAAGTTTCCTAAAAGCAGAGAAGATTGAGAGCGAGCAAGTGAAACAGGAGAGGGAATAGTGAGGGTTGAGCCTTTGCTCTTGGCAAGGTGTAAGTTGATACATGTTGACAGAGAAGAGGCAGAGGCCAGGCACTCCTGAGACAAGCCCCATTTGGCCAGTGTTCAAAAACTTTATTCACCACAGTGACTCTAACCTCTGATTCAGACACCTTTTTTACTTTACACCACATACTTCAGTAAAACAACAGTTTAACCTGAAGCGACAAAGTGATTTCAAAGCGCAGTTTGTTCTGTCTTTGTAAGATCAAAGTTCCAGCCAATTATAATATCATTTTGCATGGCTAATCTAGAGAAAATCACCTCTTTCTAAAAGCAAAAGCCAAATCTTCGGCTTATAGAACTCGTGTGTCATAACCTGTTAGTGCCGGTAAGTTTGGCAGCATCACCATGGGGGAGTGATAGTTTGCGTGAGAGCTCAGCAGTGCCAGCAGAGAGAGAATCATCTTTCGCATACAATAACCTCAGTGTCAAGTCCTCTGGAAAGCTCTGAGATTGGATAAGAGCAAGACAAGCGAGAGGGAAGGAGCAAGAATCGAGAAGGTTTGAAGAAAAACGCAAAGAGGGGCCAAGTCAGGCTAAAGAGACCGAGCAGAGAGCGGTGGAAAATGAAACAAGAGGGAAAAAAATAGAGAGCAGTGATAGCTAAGACCTAACTGTGTATGTATGCTTATATTCCAATCCCCCTGTAATGTGATTTAGTAGCATATTGATGTCGCAGAGAATCATTCTTCTCATCTGTCAACGTTTTTGTCTCTCTCCTGATTTCACCTCCTTCATAGTTTTTGATTTGCATAATGTACTGTACGCCTGTGTAGCAATAAATGAGGCCCATTCACTGCTACACTGTCTGTCAGTGCAATTCCTCCCCATTTACTTACAGATGGTAATTTGACACACATGAATTGGAAACAGCTCTTGAATGCCAAAAAGACACTGTATTTTCTCCAAATACACCAACCATTTAAACACACAGGCAATGCTTGTAACCACATTCAAAGGTTAGCATTTCATGTAAATGCAATGAATGCAAACATGTGTTTAAGAAATTTTATAAATGAATGCCGTTGCACAAAGTGAGCGGCCTCAAATGCAACCTGTAATCAAGTTTCGGCGTGAGGGTTTCAATTCGATTTGATTCCAAACACAAATCCCATCTGCAGTGTGAGATTTTTAAAAAATATGGGACTTCTGTGAAACTGTTTTACTTATTAAACAAATTATTCTCTTAGTTTTTCGTAAAAGCATTGAGACTTTTAAGAATTCTTTATAGTGATGGACATGATGTGCACATACGGCACAAAAAACTCGCTCCAACCAGAGAGTACAAAAAGGCATGAAAATCTATCCAGTCAGCGCGTGAATACCAGATTTGTTGGCTTCCTTTCTGCATCTGGTCTAGAGTAATTGAGTAATAGAGTAACATCAAACTAAGCTCTCCACTTGAAAGTGGCTCCAAAGCGCCTCTCTCACATGAATCAGCGGGTGCTTGTTGAGGTGCACACCTCAGCTTATCAGGATGTTCTCTTGTTGTCTTGTTTAACCCTTTTCAAACACCCTGGCTGTAATCAGCCTGATTCAGTGGTAACATTATGCAGACACAGGCCAGTTTCGCACTGATATTCCTCGTGGCTGAATGTAAAGAGAGCATGTCTGGAATCACGTCAAATAAAAACACCCTCAGAATAGGGATAAAGCGATCATCTTTCTGACTTCTTACTGTTCACAGAAGACAAATTGTACTTTACTCTGATTACAATAATAGAATCAGTGCGATTAATTTATAATAAAAATGAGAGCAGCTTGCCATCATAAAAGATAACACTGGATGGAATTTGTAAAAGTGGAGTAACAGTCTACTTCCTCCACTTCTCTTCCTGTTTCTTAGTCCTCTCTTCTCTAACCACACGTCTTGATGGCTTAAGCCATCATCCATTCGTTTTCACTATACATCGCCACCTTCATCTCTTTAATATGAATATTACACGCCCTTTTCTCCATCTCACACTTTTCCTTTCCCTCTCTTCTTCTCCAATTTTCACCTCTCGTTCATTTATCCCACTCCCACACCTTCTCCTCCTCCTCCCTCGTCTTCTCTCAGTGTAGTCTCAGACATGAGCTCATAACGCCTCACCTTCCCTCTATCGCAGTCTCCTGCTCTTTGTGTCTCGCGTTGATGACATCAGTGCTGGGGAGTGTTACTGTGGAAACCAATGTAGTGCGCCACAGGGATGTCACTAATTGCACGATTGCAAGTGTGTGTGTAGGCGTCAGTGTGTATTCGCTCGAGGTCAGCTTCAGGAAAAAAAAAAGGGGAAAGGTGGTGACAACTCACCCGTTTTAAGCCTTAAATCTAAACATTTTGTTCCAGGACACCGACGTCGTTGTAGGCTGGCTGATTGCACCGAGCAGGGAGGGGAAATTACATTACATGCTTCCTTCCACTTTGCGCATTCCCAGCCAAAGAAAATATTTTTAGATCA